ATGTTCAGAAACGTTGACGTCCACACCATGATGGGGTGGGCACTCTTTATCCTTTAAAGGCTGAGGGGTAAAAACTCTATTAATGCAGCTTTAAGTTTGATCACAGATCAATCTTATCATCCTCTGATTAGATACTGACGCCAACCTTTAACTGCTTTGCCACATGGCCTTTTCCTTTTTGCAATGCCTTCAGAACTTTGACCATTTGCTTCTTTAAATAAGAGCAATTCTGCCTCTCATCCTCGAGGTCTTGTGAAGAAATCTGGATCTAAAATGTAAAAAATTGTCACTGCGATGAACTGAATGAATAACACTATAATAAAAGAGATAATGTGTGGCTGTAGAAGGCAGGCACAGACAAAACAGAGCACACTGTGTTTGCATACTGCAACCTTTTTATCTCCAAAAGACTTATTAAAAAACACAAACTGGCCATCCTCTGTGCATTGTCATTAATCTGCGCCATCATTAACAATGGGTAAATCAGCAACACGAAACTGCGAAAACTAACAGAAAGTAAATGTGCCTGTCATACCTGTCGCTCTAGGTCTGCAATCTTTTCCTGGTCTGCATGGTGACGATTTAACATAAACCTCTGAAAGAGATTCGCCTGATTGGAGAGTAATTTTTCTGTGATTTCATTGGCTCTTTCTTCCCTCATGTGAGCACATTAAGATTTTTACTTTTTACCTGCAGCTCAGAGTTTCCCGACCTTCTTCTCTCATCATCCAGCACGCCCTGGAGGACTTCTCTCACATCTCTCTGTTGTTGCTCTTCATCCTCAGGGCAATTCTGCACTTCCTGTGTGCTTCTGCTCAACCTTTCAGCTTGCAGCTGCTGTTTGAGCTCCTCCACTTCCCTTTCTCTTTCCTTGCACCTACAGATCATTTTTGCCTGTCAAATAGCTAACCACCAACTTAAATGGAAACATATAATCATTACAGCCATTCTCAAACTTCAGACTGCTAACCATTTTAAAGTATAAAGATAACCTGTCTGCTTTTGTTTTTGGTATCAAAAAAAGGCAGAAAAGAAAATTAAGAATTCCGTTTTAAATCACGTAGTTCTTAAAGTTAATCCATTTTTAATGGATTATTTAATTGGAATTATAAAATAAGCAAAACTACTGGCAATTATAAAATATATTTTCAAATATATTTCAATGTAAAAAGTAACTCCTGGTAGCCCACCTGCAATACAGGTACAGTCCACCAGAGGGCTGCAGTCCACACTTTGTCTATTACTGATCTATTTTTTATGCCTTGATTTTTCAAACATACCAATTTTGGGTGATCATCAGATTTTGGTGGGTCACTTCAACTCGTTCCCTCAGTACCTCCAGTTCATCCTTGGCTTTCTGGAGGAGTCTTTCATAATGCTCCTGCATCTGGCTTATTTTCTCTTTCTCTACAATAAGAAAAAGAAATCAAAAATTAAAAGCAGAAGTGGGAAACAAAAGCATGTCTACTCAGATGTGTGCCATGTGGCATTAAAAAAAGATAAATGAAGCACATGAGGACACATTCTGTTACAGTGGGCTACTATTGGACAATCTTGATATTTTAAAAACTTGTTGTGACAGACTGCTGCCCCTTGTCGCCCCAGTGGTGAGTGTCCACTGCCCACTATCCTCTTGGCTCACCGTCTGAATGGTCCTCATTGTGCTGCTGTGAACGGGCCTGATTGGCTTCATTCAGCTGCTTCTCCAGCCATAACATTCTGGCCAGAATCGCCCTCACATAGGCCTCTCTCTGCTGGTCATACTCCAGCCACTGCTTGTTTTTTTCCAAGGCCTCAGGGCATTGAATGAAATAATGAGAAGCACATAAAAGAAAAGACAGAAACAGATCTTTGCCAGAAAGATGTCTCCAAACCACAAACACTTAGTACGACATGTATACTGTAGCCTGACTTGTAAGTAAAAACGGACTAAAAGAAGATTAAGGGGAAGGATAGGAGTGGATAGAAAAACACAGGGGGCATTTCCCAGCTGTGCCAAGAAAACACTTACATCTCTGAGATGAATTTGGACCTCTGCCACAGCTTCATTACTCGTGGAAACCTGTTCATCAGCTGTGGAGTCCTACCAGAGAGACCAGAAAGACACAAAACAATACTGCACATTTGAAAATGAGCAATTCATATTAACAGTCTCTTAGTTGCTACGATAAAAAACAAAAGCTAGCTGGCAGGCAGAACAGTTCAAAAAAGATCCATAACATCTCTATGATGACTATCATGGCTCTCAGTATCCTAATGGTAGTGAGACTGAAAAATACCTGCTGCTATCTAGTGGTATAACTGGGGCAAGAGGGGCTTAATTAGCTAAACAGATGCTGGAAAGTCTAAGAGTAATGTGAGCAGTGTGAAGGAAATAATCACATTCACATGACTGCATCTGAAGCAGGACAGCTGCAAATTTAACAAGCAATTAAAAATGCTCCACACAACATTGAGACCTTTTCTTGTTTGCTAGATTATAACAGAGAGACTGACAAACATTCATGCTAGAATCGCCAATCAAGGCCCAGCTACTGGATTCAAATCCAGGACCTTCTTAGTCTAAGGTGATGGTACTAACCATTCTGCTTCCACTATTTTCAGACAGCTTTCTTCCACCAGTAAACCAGTGCAGAAAAATGTTGCTCCCATTGCACCTACAGTGGACACGTCTGTCCACAACAGTCACCAGCTAGTGGCATGCAGTGGAACTATCTCAATGACACACTGGTCTATAAACAACACTCCACTGAGCCAGAATTCCTACTCGAAGGACTCTCTATAGGAAGCTGGCCAGTATGACCCACTAAGCTTCATCCTGTTGACCAGTTGGGCAAAAATTGGGCAAAACTGTTTTAGGCCCCCTGGATGATACCAAGGTGCTTAGAAGATGATTTGATGTTGTTGGCGAGAGGGACAATTTAGTGACAGACATCCAAACACAAGATACTCAGTTTTGTCAGGATAAAGGAGGAGGACATTTGAAGATTTATTTATTAATGGTAGTAAAGCATTCATAGAGGTAGGAGAAGCTGTTGAGCATCCAGACTGCTAAACTAAAGGTCTGAGATAAAACTTACTCAGCTAATACAACTTCCCAAATACAAAGCTTCAGAGAAAGAGACAGACACTGATGCCTGCCTTTCCAAATGAATACAAAAGTCATGACTGACATTTAAGGGGAGCTGTGTTGGAAAACTCAGCAGTGACCCCTTGTGGGAAAGGAATTATTTGCATTGACATCACTGGCTGTCCCCTGTAGTAGCAGGGCAAAAAACCTGGCAAGCAATTAAGCATGCCTAACATGCTCCAGACCTTTTTCTGTGCTTTAACCAGACAATGCTATATGGTCTATAGATTTGAAGAGAAAGATGTACTGGGTTAAACAGAACTGTTTGTTTTTACTGCTTCCGACATTATAATCTCTAATTTGAAAATCTGCTATACCTGCTTCCCTGTAACTTTTTTCTCGACATACTGACACCTTGTTGAGATGACCTCAAGCTTCTCCTCGATTTCCTCAATCTCTCTGGAGTAACGGGATATGCTACTCACTGCATCCACTGGTCTCTTTTCTTTTTCACACAGCTGCTCAGAGGGTGAAGCAGTTTTCTCATGTTTCGTCCTAAATTCCCGGGTACACTCGAGCCTGATGGCTTCAAGAGAGAGGAATCTCTGCATGGAGACACAACAAAACATCTTTTAAATATTGGCAGGATGTATTGATACAAAAAAATTGTAAAAATAATTAGACTTAGCAGTGTGAGCATGATTACCTCTACAAGCTTATTATGCTGCGACTGCTGATGGGTCAGTTCAGCCAGGGTCCTTTTCAGGTAGGCATTCTCTTTCCTGAGGCTGCTGACAACCATGGCAAGCTCTGAGTTGAGCTTTTTCTTGAGAGAGCGCTTGTATTTAGATGCTGCCATCCCTGTTACCTGCTCACAAGTATCACAGGAGCAATGCATCTTAGAACATAACATATGAAACATCAACAATACGAGCAGGATTACATTACCTAATATTCACGAGCAAAGACAACTTCACCAAAGTTTGATTTCTGAGCAGTAATTTTATAATTAGTTTGTAATGTATTGCATTGCAGCTAGTTGCTTTTGACTTTGAAACCTAGTGTATTTTTAAATATATATACATATATTTTTTTTTCTTATTCTTTATTTTATTTAAAGGTGTCTCTAAATTTATTAGCAACGCACCTACATCCCACTACATGTAAGACAAATTGAATTAAATAAATCTGGCATCAGCAAAGTGCTACCCCCCCCCCCCACACACACACACACACACACACACGTTAAAATATATTTTTGTGTCTATCGCTAGTTAACAAGCTAACAGTTAACATGCTAACAAAATCGCTCATACTTAAGAGTTAAACTGGATACCGAATATTGGTCTCTCATATCTATAAAATAACATTAATGATGTAAAAAACCGCTTATAACCGCCATAATCTATAAGGTTTTTGCTAGACAGAATTAAAGCTACTTTAGCTAGCTAGCCAACGTTAAATAGCTAGTGTTACCATTTAGCTAACGTTATTATAACAGTATTGAAATATGACTGCTCATTTTAAAATAAATCTTACTTTCTTAAGGTATTGTTTTACCAAATCTGCTGCAACACCTACTGGGTTTATATTTTGTTACCTAAAGATGGTGTTGACTGTCAAATTGTGAAGTTGGATGATTATGGCAACCTTTCTCCATCGCCCACTAGCGTGAAAACGGAGAAGAGGAGGAGCTCAGCGGATAAAACTGGTGTTAAATAATAACAATATTGCCTTTCTATATGAATGTTTTTGCAGCTTATTAACTTTTAGATTTAACATAAAAGTGTGTGGCTTTACTTAATAGAAGAAACGTTACTTTAAGCAAGTATTTTTAAAAAATTGACTGCAGGGGAAGATGGCAGTACTTAGGCATCACCACAGAGTGGCGCTGCAGCACAGGATGAGGGTCTCTTTTTGGTGCTCCGTACAGTAAAGCCGCTTCAGGCTGCTGGTGGCTGCTGTGACTCATAAGGTGATTGGTATCCGCCCCTCTCCTCCTCTGCTTTAAACTTTGTCTCAGTTCCTCCTATGATGGCACCTTCTCTCTCAGAGGAATATAAAGCTTTTCTTTGAGTGTTTTTTTTTTTGGACTTCTATCAACATGCTGCGGGTCATAGTTGAATCCGCCAGCGGGATACCCAAAAAGAAACTTGGCAACCCAGATCCAATAGCTTCGGTGATCTTTAGAGGTGAGAAAATTCTTCAGGATAACTATTACCTTAACTCTTCCTGCTGTATGCTGTGCCACTTCTTTTCTAGGAGAAACTGAGCATCCATACAGTGTTTCACTTTCTGTCAGGTTAACATCTTTTGGTTGTAATCACTTAAACGTTTATTGCAGCTGAATATTTTGGCTGTGACTCAAAAAAACAAAGATGCATCCTTATAAGGTCAGAATAACCCACGGCTCCCAAAGGAGAAGGCTTGCATTGTTATTGTAATAAAAACTCCCTCAGGATTGTAAAATTGTTTGTGCAGCAATTATTTTTAGTTGAAAAATAAGTTTGGCGTTGGTTTGAGACTTTTATGTGTCGCTCCTATTCACTGTTAAACTTCAAAATGCTTGGGAGGAAGATATTTTAAAAAAGGAATATAAATCATTGCTTTGTCATTTTTTCTTACAGGTGAAAAGAAGAAAACCAAAGCAGTTGATAATGAGCTCAATCCAGTTTGGAATGAAGTAAGTGTAAACTGAAAGTTAACTTTAATGTTTGGGTGTGATGTTGATGTGTATGTTGTCAACATGACTCCCTGCTGGTGGTTGATTCCAAATGCCCCTTATTTGTAATTACAGGTGTTTGAATTTAATTTGAAAGGCAGCCCTCTGGATGCATCTTCATTCATCAACGTGGTTGTAAAAGACTACGAAACAATCGGAAAAGACAAGTATGTGCACGGAGGGCAATGGGTGGAAAAATGATCACATTTGCATGTTGATTTAGTCATGAATGTGTGTCTGTTTTAAAGTGATGGCAGCCTTAGTTGTCTTAAACCAGACTGGTGTGTGGCACTGAATCAGTACTTAACCCATCATAACAAAGTCTCTGAGTCAGCAAGTTCATTTGAGTGCAGCTAGTCATTACAGATATACATGTGTTTTATGGCTCTGGTAATAACTTAAAGGGAAAACCTCATCCCAACTCAGTGGTTTTTCCTTTTGACATGTAATTATAATCAGTGTAGCAGAGTTTCATGGTAGCTGTGCACCGATGACCAACATTATAACTCCCAGCGTGTGGCTGAAAACAGTTATTATGATCTTTTCCCGAGGAGCAAAGCAGCATGTTGAAACTTCACTGGTATGTTTAACTCCAGGACTGACTCGTCCATGTTAAGACTTGCTATGGTGAACAATGGTGATCCAGCATTTAAAAAAATATTACCTTAAAAGGGAAAAAAATTGTTCCTTTTCACTATTCTTTCTTGAAACTCAAACTGTTGCTTATTAGTCACTTTAATAATCCTCATTAATGTGTTTGACAGATATGCACAAAACACAGAGAGTCTGGGTTCTTTTGTTTTTAAAAAGTGGAGACAAGAAAGGAGACCAAGTAATAACATTTCCATTGAGTCACTGCAGTGACTGTACACAGTATAAATTCCCCTGAGGCAGGCAAAAGGGGTGTGGGGGTGGGTGGGGGTAGTGGGTGAAGACTGTCTGCCTTAGCTACACAAGCACTTTATGCTTTTCCAAAGCTGCATGAGAGGGGAAGCTTGTGCTGGCTTGTCATCGGCACGTTTGTCATTATTAACAGACAGTAAAGCCAAAAATCAGGAAACTTGTTTTTTTGTTTTTTTTTTAACCAACCGTTACCCCTATCTAAAATCCATAATAGGAAAGAGAAGGAGTGTGATTCAGGGAACCGAAGAGGGATGTCTAATCTGTACTGCAGTTAAAAGAAGGCAAATCCAGCTGCTCAACTTGCAGTTTTGAGACCTAGTTTCCTTTGGGACATTTTATTTTGGTATTTCCTCAGCTGTCTTTAAAAGCCATACATTAGTAGTGGAAAATACCTGTGTATACCAAAAAATGGTTAGACATTTTAAAGTAAAAATCCTCTCTTTAGTAGAGCAGCTACAAATATTTGACACTAGAATTTAAAGTTTTCTTTCGCAGTAGAAGTTATGTATACTCATTATCCTTATACTGTGTTTTCCTTGCACAGTGTGCCAGGGGCAGTAATTTACCATCCCAGATTCTTTCCACAGATGACACTTTCTGCCAAGAACAAGTTTTCTAAGCTCTGTGGAGTCTCAACTAATCCCACATCTGTTGAGAACCACAGAGAAAATTGTGAAAGCAACTCATGAAAGCGACCATTCTCATGTTCTTTACTTACTATAAGACTGTTCTCCCACCTCTTTGGCTCTGCATTTGTTCATTGTTAAACTGGGCATAGAGCACATGCCTGTGGTACATGTTAATGGTTTCCATCTTTATGGGTTTTCCTCATAAACTAGTTCCACTGCTGTATGCAAATCTCCCTTTTAACAAAATGAGTAAAGTGACATCAGAGGAAAACTTACTCTGGAATTAATCTTTGAGTTCAACTTGAGTTACAGTCATTTGGTAAATGAACCTAAATAGTGGTTTCTACTCTAACTTAGCATTCAGCTCTTTGTACTATAAAGCCACATTCGCCCTGTTATAGTCCTTAAATTTATGGCTCAAAGGAACCCAGCATATCAGATGCAACAACACTGCTGCCATTCAACAAGCTACTAATAACGGAAATATAGTTACTCCCAAAGGACAAACAGAAACAAAAAGACACAGAATTCCCAACTAGAAACAAACAAAAGAGGAAGAAGACCATGAGCCAACCACATCAGCCACACAGCGGGGCATTGGATTCAGGCTTCTCCCCTAAACTAGGTCTGGAAAACTAGACTAACATAAACCAAAGCTAAAAACACTGAGAACTCCCAACTTTAACTATACTTAATAATCAAAGCTAAGAAAACAATAGAAAGATAAAGCTAGTGAAAAGGTCAAAGACACCAGTTGCCAACCATCATGCTGTACTTATGGTACTGTATTTTGTTACCCTGTATTTATACACGTGTAATGATAACAAAGTTCAATCCTAATCCCACCTTCTCTGGGTTTATATTTGTGCAGGAAGCCGTCAACAACCAATCAGCATTAGGAATAGATCAGATAAGTGAGAGAACAGGTTAATGGGGTTGACAAGATAAACACAACACCCTGATGTCACAAGCGCAGATATGCTCACTCTCCAATGGACCAGCTGAGGGCATCTCAGTCTTGCCCAAGATTGCTTTGACATGCAAACTACAGGGATTGAACTACAAACCTTTCCACTGGTAGACAAACCGCTCAACCTTCTGAGCCACAGCTGCGCCCATGCGCCCATGCTATGATTTATAAAAATGCCCGGTGTGTTGCAAGCTATTGTCATTATTACATATATTACATAATTTCCTTTTAATAAAGTAACAATGTCGGTGTTGTTGCTTGATTTGTTATATTTATATGAAGAAGTGAAACTGAGAAGTGGAAACTTTTAGGTATCCACAGCAACGAGCAATTACAGTCACAAACAGTGAGTCCAGTTCCTGCCTGTGGTAATTCTTCAGCACAAATTGTGGAAGCAAAGCATCCCTAGCATCCTTAGTTTTATCGATTGGAAAGAGGTTGATGGTTTCCTTGATTGGCGTATGACTTGAGTGAATGTGAATGGAAATGAATGTGATTGCTTTTCAGATTTATTGGTTCTGCAAGAATCTCACTGAAAGACTTGGCCAGTGGTCATGCGAAATCCCTCCCATCCAAGAACATACCACTTGTCAATGAGAAGCAGCAGTCTTTTGGGGTGAATACCTTTAATTAATAGCGTGATCCTACTTATTGTGCAGTTGTTTTTGTGAAATGCAATACAGCTGGACAGATTTACATCGTGATGGGTGGTAATTAAGAATGTATTCTTTTTTTAGGCAGTCATTAATTTGCTCATTGGGTATGAGTCACCTATCAATGCCACTTCAAACCTAAATGATCAAACTGATGGAGACATATCTCATTTGGATGCTGGTAAGAAGACTAAAATCTATCTATCTATCTATCTATCTATCTATCTATCTATCTATCTATCTATCTATCTATCTATCTATCTATCTATCTATCTATCTATCTATCTATCTATCTATCTATCTATCTATCTATCTATCTATCTATCTATCTATCTATCTATCTATCTATCTATCTATCTATGCAAAGTTACATTCCATGAATAGTTGCATTCATTGTACACCAAGATGTTATACTGAGGATGGGAAAGCTGGATCCTTGAGTCTTCTCCAGACAATCCCAGAGATTCTAAATGGGGCTAAGGTCTGGACTCTGTGGTAGCTAAAACCAAGTGTGAAAATAATGTCTCGTGCTTCCTAGGTATGGTGCGTGAATGGCTTCACCTTCACTACCCATCACTTTGGAAAATGCTAAATCTGGATTCATCATACCACATGACTGTTTATCATTGCAACAAAGTTCATGTTCACTAGGAAACTGAAGAACATCCCACTCCGACTAGCCTTGATGATGCATGTCTGTGTAGGTTCTCAGTCATCAAGGTTATGGTAGTCAAAGGAGCTTGAAAAGTTTTAGGCCATGGTTGACCAGGTCAACTAACACACAGAGAGGGTGGCTTATGACACCGAAGATTACCCACCAACAATGTAGTCTTGAGATCCCTTTCCTGGTGCCTCAACTCCCACTGACATCTTGCATTCGATGACATCAGTAGGTCACATAATACGGTGAGGCAAGGGTACGCAATGGCGTCACCCAAAACCGCTGGTGATAATGACGCAACATTTTTCTTCATACCTTGGCTCATGAGATGATTAATAGTGGGTCAGCAACCCTCTTAAGGGACAACTCCCACTAGGGTTTAAATAACCTGAACTCTCCACCGTGTGGTTTTAGAACTGAAGAAACTTCTCAGATAAGAGGTGAAACGTCTTTAAAAACTTTTTAAAAATCCAGTCGCCTTCTTTTCAGGCTCCTTAGACCTCACTGATGCATGGTTTTCTTAAAGCTGCACAGAAGTTTAGTCCCAATCCCTTGTGTTCTCGTTGCATTGAATGCGTGAAAATGCTCCAGAAATCACTGTTAAAAACAACCGTGCGTTCTACTGATGATTTTTCACACTCTGATATCACTAAACATTTAAGTGATCTATGGTCACAATCATTCAAGATTTATTTCTGACCACATTTCTTCCTCAAAAATGATAATTCACCATGATCCTTGTAGGTTTTAATGACATGTTGGACAGTGTGTAACACAGTTTTAGTTGTTTCAGCAATCTCCTTAGTTCTTTTATCTACTTGATGCCATTAGGTCAAATGACCTATCTGAAAATGAGCAACATCTTTTCCACAGTTATGGGATATGTCTTAAAACATGGTTGTTTAAGAAAAAAAGGAGCTGTTCACTGCATCGGGTTAAATAACCAGTTGCACGCCGAGACATATTAGTCACCACAGGACTGAAGCTTAGCATGAGTAGAATAATAATGAATATGAATGACTATGAATTTCATGTTTTTCTTTCTGATTTTGCACCAAAAAGGGAGTGATGAGGGTGATGAGGGAGAAGCAGACACAGATGGGGGAGGTCAGGGTGGAGGCTCAGGAGCTCCCACTTTACCAGGCCACCCTGGGAAATCCAGACAATCTATCCGTCTGAGGCGTAAGAGGCACAGAGCCCTGGCCAATAAGCCTCAGGACTTCCAGGTATTGTTTGACTTGCAATTATTTTTAATCTACGCCTAGATAATGACAAATATCACTCTAAGAAGGAAATGTTATTGTTAATCACATAAATGACAGAAAGTTTCACCAGTACTGCTTAACACGTAAGCCAGTGCCAGGGAATAGACAAACAGGAAACAGACATGCCAACAACTTTTCTGGTTCTGCTTCAGTTTCTCTGGGACAATATTGTTGATCCACAGTTTTCCAATATTTAATTGAGCTGGATTGTACTTTAAAAGTTGGCAGAAAAAGTAAAGTAGCCCAAATAAATAAAAAAATGTTACCTTTTCAAACAGATCCGTGTTCGGGTTGTCGAGGGTAGACAGCTGCCTGGCAACAACATCAAGCCTGTGGTTAAAGTGAGTGTATGTGGACAGACCCACAGGACGAGAATTAGGAGAGGGAACAGCCCGTTCTTTGATGAGGTAATGAATCTATGGCCACGCAAAGATACTCAACTCGTCCAGAAATGACTCTTGAGAAGTTTGTTACTGATTGCATACTTTTGCTTTTGACCTTGCTTGTCTATTTTTAACCTCCCTTTGTCTACTTTCCTTGCCACTTCTGTGAGCTTTAATAACCTCCTGTGATATTTCTCTCTTTATCAGCAGCTTTAGAGTCGCCTTCTGTAGATACTGAAGGAGTCCTTTCAGCTTTCTCTTGCAGTATAACTAATCCCTCTCATTTGCATTTGCATTTACCTCATCTCAGCTTTTGCCAGAATGTACAGTTAGAATCTCAGCTAAAAGCAAATGTAAGTTGTGTGATTTGCCACAAAAAGTTATATTAGCGTGCTTCTGGCATAGAAATATACTGTGCACACACCGTTGTCTCTCTCTCTTCTCCAGATGTTTTTCTACAATCTTAACATGCTACCGTCAGAACTGTTTGATGAGAGCATCAACATTCGGGTATGCAGATAAGTTATATTAAAATGTAATACTGTTTTTTGTTTGTTGTTTTGTTTTTACAGAAAATTAGTATATTGTACCATCTGTTATGCGATTTTACAATCAAATCATTTCTCCATCTCATATCTTTTCTCCATAGGTCTATGACTCCTTCTCCCTCAGATCTGACAGTCTAATTGGAGAGTTCAAGGTGTGTCAAAAATGCTTTTAAATACTAAACTTTGCATTCGTCGTTTCACAGTTCAAGGATGAATTAGTAGTCTGACATTTTTCTTTCCTATCCAGCTTGATGTTGGCTACATCTACGACGAACCTAGTGAGTATTTTGGTATTGTATGCACGTCTTGGGAAAGTTCCCTTTCTATACACTGCAGGTAGATGTTTGAACATGTTGAATATGACACCATATCCAGGTCACGCCATAATGAGGAAATGGCTCCTCCTCAGTGATCTTGATGATTCGAGCTTGGGGCCTAGAGGCTACCTGAAAGTCAGCATAATTGTTGTGGCTACTGGAGATGAACCATCGGTAAGAGTAGCTTCTTCCTCAAAATCAAAACACCTTTCTCTTAATGCAGTGTTAATAACATAAAGATCTCTTCTGCTCTGCTCTTGCTTCTTGCGTACAGACTGAGAAGAGAGAGTCAAATGAGGAGCAAGATGACATAGAGAACAATCTTTTGGTGCCAGCTGGAGTCACGATGCGATCAGCCACGCTGAACCTTAAAGTCTATCGTGCTGAGGATATGCCACAGAGTAAGTGGTGTACCGGGTATTAAATTTCTGCAGCTCTCATGGGCTGATGCATTGAAATCCGTTTAAGAAGCTTCTGTTTTATGTTGCAGTGGATGATGCCTTTGTTCAGACAGTAAAACAGGTATTTGGAGGGGATGGAGACAGGAAAAACTTGGTGGATCCATATTTGGAAGTCAGCTTTGCTGGGAAGAAGGTATTTCATGTTAGATTAAAGTTTTTAAAAATTTCCCTCAATGTAATTATAGTTCATTTAACATTATTATTTTGTCTTTTTAGGCTTCTACCAAAATAATTGAGAAAAATGCGAATCCAGAGTTTAACCAATTCATCAGTCTTCAAGTAAAGGTAATAAAGATGCATATTAAAAAGAAGCTTTGATTCAAAATTGAATGAGACTTTAATCTCCATCATAAATAACCTCTGCCTCTGTAGTTTCCCTCCATGTGCGAATGCATCAAGTTGACTATGTATGACTGGTAAGCACTGACATTCATTCACAGACATGGGTAACAATAACACGACCACTATCTGACATGTATATATATTCTTTGCAGGGATCGTCTAACCAAGGATGATGCCATAGGAACAGCATTTTTGAATCTAAGCAAGATATCTTCCTCTGGCGGAGAGATTGAAGGTAATCATACAGTATTGTTTATATTTTGTCACTCACTGGTTTATGTCCATGTTGTGATATGAAATGTAATACCGCTTTTTTTTTTATTCATTCAAAACAGAAACACAGGCTGAAAATTCCAACACAGTCACCGAATGTATGTACTAAATGATTTATCTTCTTTTATGTAAAAAAAGACTCTAAGTTTCTAAGAGCTTAACTCACTCCTTCTCTTTATGTATCTAACCTTACCTGTAAATCCTGGTGGATTTTTGTTTTTTCTGTGTGTTACCGTGAGCACAGCTGCATCAGAAGTTGGTTTTCTCCCAGCCTTTGGGCCTTGCTACGTCAACCTGTATGGCAGCCCGAGAGAGTACTCAGGTCTGCCTGACCCATACGATGAACTCAACCATGGAAAGGTAGCACCAACCAGAACTTCTGCATGATATTTCACTCTCATTGGTATTCATTTTATTTCATATTCATGTTTTTGCATTTTCAACTCTTTCAGGGAGAAGGGGTCGCATACAGGGGGAGGGTCCTTGTTCAACTGTCCACTCAGCTGGATGGAAAGACTGATAAAAATGTGGATGACATCTCAAGTGATGACATCTTGGTCGCACAGGTACTCACGCCGCTCACCGTAACCCTGTCATGCTGTATTTACTCCAGTAAACTGCAAGGTGCCTTTAAACTGATGGTGTGAACATCCCTAAGCAGAAACAAAAACCAGCAGTTTGTTTTCATTTACGTAATCTAAATGTGGTCCTGAACAGGGATAGAATACCTCTAACCAACAGTGTGGAATTAAATTATAACACTCCCACATCTTTTTAATTGGTTGCAGAAATACCAGCGGAGGAGGAAGTATTCCCTGTGCGCAGTTTTCCACAGTGCATGCATGCTCCAAGAGCCTGGTGAACCAATCCAGTTTGAGGTCAGCATCGGTAATTATGGGAACAAGCTGGATTCCACCTGCAAGCCGCTGGCGTCCACCACCCAGTACAGCTTTGCTGTTTTTGATGGTACTTAGTTGTTTTTTAAGCTTGTTTATGGACTATGACGTAGTTTTGATATTTTCGTGACATTAAGGGAATTTAGGTAGGCATGTGTTTTTTTTTTTAATTGTTATTTAAGTCAAATATATATGACTAAATTACTTAAACTGTCAACCTCACTGTAAGTGTTTGGAATACTGAGTCATAAACTCCTAATGTGTGTGTAAAATAAATAATAAAACAGCACATTTACTGTGTATGGTGCAGGTAATCACTACTATTACCTACCCTGGGCTGACACTAAGCCTGTTGTGATTCTCACTTCGTACTGGGAGGACATCAGCTACCGCCTGTACTCTGTTAATATTCTCCTCTTCATTGCTGAGAGGCTGGTGAGAATAGCACACAGACATAATATTTCATAATATTTCTGCTGCTCATTAATCTCTCCCCTTTACGCTTTGTGATTTGTTTTAGGAGTCTCACCTTATTTCTTTTAAAACAGCCATCTTAACCAAAATTCCTGAGACACACCTTGCTGAAATTTGGCTTAAACTCATCAACTGCCTGATTGAGGACCTTAGCAAGTAAGACGAGACCAGGCAGATCCTACACTAGTCCTTTCAGTTGCATGAAGTAGTGGTTTGATGTAGATTATTGTTAGACAGCTGTGTTTTTTTCTGTTAGGACAGATACATTTGTAGGTGGCTGTTAAAGCTAAATAATCTGATGTGCGTGTGACAGTTTGCAGCTTCCAGTTCTGGAGGAACAGCAAAACATTACAGAACTGGATCTCCAAATAAAAAGCCTGCGTGATGCCGCTGTGGAAAGTATCAGGCAGATGGCCACTCGGGTGAGAGAAGAAGCCACAGACGTCAAGGCGACTGTTGGTGAAATTGAAAACTGGTTGGACAGACTCAAGCAGCTGGCAGAGGAGGTGAGAAAATGTTTCCTCTGCTAAAGAATGTCCAGGGCGTCATTGTTATCAAAAGTACAATGTAGTGCAGCTCTAAAACAGGATCGAAACTTTGTGTAATTGAAATGTTTCATGTCTCCTTCAGCCTCAGAACAGCATGCCAGATGTGATCATATGGATGTTGAGAGGAGAGAAGCGTGTGGCTTATGCCCGAGTCCCAGCCAACCAGATCCTGTACTCTAACTTCAGTGACGAGGCCTGTGGCAAACATTGTGGAAAGACTCGGACCGTCTTCATGCAGGTAATGCAAAAGTCATAAATGTTTCTTTAACAACTTGCAATAATTCAGGTTTTACAGTATATTTTGTATGCCATTTAATTCTTGTATTCAGTATCCCATGGACAAAGAAAAAGGTCTGAAGATCCCAGTTCAGCTGAGGATCAACATGTGGCTCGGTCTCTCTGCACAAGAGAAAAAATTCAATACTTTCTCAGAGGGAAACTTCAGTGTGTACGCTGAAATGGTACAGTATCTATGCAAAACATTTGTTTCTGAAGAAATAAATACAAACATTTGTGACTGCTTACTTTAGAGGGCATTGTATAAACTATGGCTTGAATACACTGTTGCTTTTTTCCCCCTCTGTAGTATGAGAACCAGGCTCAGGTGTTTGGCAAATGGGGTACCACTGGCTTGGTTGGACGTCATAAGTTCTCCGATGTAACTGGAAAGGTGAAGCTCAAGCAGGAACGCTTTCTGCCGCCACGTGGATGGGAATGGGAGGGAGACTGGTTTGTTGATCCTGAGCGATGGTGAGTAATCATACAAGTACACGCACACTCGCAGCCCTTTCAATCAACTGCGTACATCCTGTTGCAGTGCACTTGGACATACTATCCTACTATCCTGTTTATACTTCAGTATCTTTTATGGAAAGGTTAAAACTCAGCAAGCTGTGTGTTCTTGTGTGTGTTCTGTAAGGGATGTAAGAATGTCATCGAGGCTAAGAACCACACACTATTATCCTGTCTATAACAAAAACAAAATGCATATAAGTAAAAAAAAAAAGGAATTTCCAGCTACTCCCTTATTTTTTACACTAGTTGCCGTTTCTGAAGCAACCCCAAAAGGGATTAGTTTCACCTCCTAGGATCAAAACTAGGGAGCTTTCACTTGATAGTTGAATGGTTGAGCCAGTACACTATGGAGCTAAAACTGCATGTAATCAAAGTGAAAACATCACTTGTTTGTTTGATCTTAATTTCCTGTTTCAATCAGAAAGCAGATAAGTTTGGGGCCTGGACTGGACTCATTTTGGCAGTTGTGGCTAAAAGTGGGTCGCATGGTGCTCAAAATGTCACGCTCCACTTGATGTTATAAATCAACACTTGCAGTCACGCCCAGATGTGAACTTCAGATTTATGTTTTTCTGTCTACAGATATGTCTGTCTACTTTTAACTTGCTGTTCAGTTGTCTTAACCAAAACCCAAAACCACTTTCTAACAAAATCTTCTAAGTACTCACGTGTCATACCGCTGGTAGTTTCGGTCCGCTTTTAGACCTCTGCATTCAAATGTCCCCAGCAGGTTCCTGAGGTCATGTGATCAGGGCCTGATGACTGTCTGTCATACAAGCTACAGAGCTTTTGTACCTGAGCTCTGTGGACTCAGTGGTCTCTTTAAAACGAAGAAAAAAAACATCATCTATTAAACTTTAATGTTCTTGCACTTTTTGTTGTGAAGCTCTTTGTGATATCGATCTTAAGAGGTGCTATATAAATAAAATTTTACTTACTTACTTAATTAACAGAGAAAGAATTTCCAAGAATTGCTCTCAGTCTTTGCACAGCAGAAAATAGTGATATGAGACAAATTATTAGAAACAATCTCTGCCCAGTGTTTTTTTTAATAGGTTAAATACCACATTTTCACTTACATATACAAACTCTCTCTTTCTCTCTGTTTCTTTATTAACTATTTTTTTATATATAATTCTTTGTTTTCCATCTGGCCTTCTCTCCTGCTTTTCCTCAGAATCCGATTACCAGGTTTTTTGCATGGCTAATGTTATTTTTGCACAGTTTCCTCTGAGAAGCTGTTTATTCCTGCTTTTGATTGTTGTTGTCGGTGGGTCAAATTGTCAGGTACAATCCCTTGTGTGCGCTCAAATGACTGAGGGTACCAGCCAACGCTAGGAACCAAATTATCATCACAATTACAGGAAATGAACAGGAATTTGGCATCAGCCAACATTTTGGTTTCTTCTCCTTCCCTCCCTTTGTGCCTTCTGACTCTAAAGTGCTTACAGCCTCATACTGAAGTTTGAGTAAATAGCCTTAGCTATCTGAAGCCTGCTTTCCTGATCTCTTCTGATCTGTTTATTGTGGACCTACATAACTTTTGCCTGAGTCAGACAGCCTCTTATTAACCTTAGTGCTATGGTGGTGTTTTCTAAAGTCTGTTGACAGAAGCAGATGCAGGCCACACAGAGTTCACAGATGAGGTTTTTGAGAATGAAACACGGTTTCCTGGTGGTGAGTGGAAACCTGCTGCAGAGCCCTACACAGACGTGGTATGCTATACTGGTCTTACCCACAGACATATAAAACACACGTTTAGCTTTTAAAGCCCTATCTGAAATATGTGGGTGAAGATAGCACGACAAAGCCTGTTTATGCATACTTGTTTCCAATGTTATCAGTTTCTACTTTACTACTGTGTACTTGTGACAGGTTGATTTCTTTGTGGTTGCATTGGCGTGATTTTTGCTGTCTTTCTGGCACCATTTGTAGTTTTTAGTAGGCCTGCTAGTAATGATAATGACACCACATTGAGTATTTGGGCTGCATAAGAGCCCAAAAACCTCAAAGCTGCTGCAGACATCTATCACCCAAGTCTGAGTTTTTGAGTAGTTCCCATGAGTATCCGAACACATAGCTGTTAAAAACTTTACAGAATTAGAGACCGACTGGTATAGAATATGAAGCATTAATAAAATCAATTGGGCTTTTTAAGTTTCTGTATCATTTAATAAAAACTTTTTATTTTGTGTAGAATGGTGAAAAGGTTCAGAGCCCAGGGGACTTTGAGTGTCCACCTGGATGGACCTGGGAGGATGACTGGAGCTTCGATAGCAACAGAGCTGTTGATGAGAGAGGTAACATGAACATTAAAACTGAAACACAACCCATCAGTAAACAGAAAATAAATAAATAAGTATATAAATAAAATAAACCTATAGAAGAGACATCAAAAACAATAGGAGTGGACAGAAACGCACCGGCCAGCACAGACCACCGAAGACAAATGAAGTGTTGGAACTCTTTCCATGGTTAAGAAAAGCAATAATCTCTAAGTCCTAAGCGTTTCACCTTTTCTTTTAACCATGGTGGAGCCATGTTATGACATGGGTATGTATGGCCGCCTGGTGGAACTGGGTCCCTGGTGTTTATTGATGATGTGCCAAGAGTTTCGCAAGGCAAAGAAATGTGATATTCTTCAATGACCAAGTCAATCACCTGATCTCATCCCAGCAGAGCACTCCTTTCAGGTATTAAACACAAAACTGAAGGCAGAGAGAGACCCACAAACAAGCAGCAGCTGCTGGTAGCTGCAGTAAAGGCCTGACAAAGCATCTCAAAGAGGAAACGTCATTTGGTGATGTTTATGGATTCTAGATTTCAGACAATCAATCAGAAGCAATCCTTATATTTAAAATGATGTTAGTTTGTGCAATCACTTTCAGCCTGTAAATACGGGGGACTGTTTGAAAATGTCTATAATTCCTAAAACGTTAATACTACTTTATTTAATCTCTTAAAGCCTGCACTTTAATTACATATTGACTGTTTTTCTAAACTCTTCTGTGGTATATATGGGCAAAATGTCATAATTTGTCTTTGTTTAACAAGTTATGGGCCTAACAATGTACATCCTCTCTTCCTACTACTGTCATCTTGCAAATAAGGAAGAGTCTAACTATATATGTATTTTTTGACACTAGGTTGGGAATATGGGGTCACCATTCCCCCTGATGATAAACCAAAGTCCTGGGCTCCAGCAGAGAAGATGTACCATGTCCACCGCAGGAAGAGACTCATGAGAAAAAGAAGGAAGATATCTGAGAAAACTGCTATTGCTGAGGTGAGGAAGACACAGATTAGGAAAAGACTAGATTCAGCACACAGGTATAATCTCATTGCGGGATTTTTTGGCTTTTGTTCCTTCTTTAGAGACGAGGATCGGGGGAAGGTTGGGAATACTCTTCCCTGATTGGCTGGAAGTTCCACAGGAAAGAGCGCTCCTCTGACACGTTCCGCCGCCGACGTTGGAGGAGAAAGATGGTCCCATCAGACTGCATTGGGGCCTCTGCCATCTTCAGACTGGAAGGAGCTTTAGTAGGTCTAGTTTAAGCACCCTGAGTAAAACTGCTTAATATAAATCTCTATTCTATACCCATTTCTGTCAGATGTAAAATCGATTTTATTTGGGTTGTTGTGCTGTGTTGCTTTAAATTTTCTTAAAGTTTGCTCCAATATTTAGAAAAGTCTCCTGTTAAGCTCCTTTGTTTTGTTAACAGGGGGTCGATGTTGATGAGAAGGCCGGTAAAACGGGTGCAGCCAAAGTTTTTGGTGCCAACACACCCACTGTTTCCTGCCACTTTAACCGTAAGTAGCTGAATCAGATAAAATAAATTCCTGTTTGTTGCTGATTAAAGGCAGAGGTTTTCTTTGAACTACATCCCGACTGACTGCTCTTAGTGTGACACTACACTGATATCCCAAATCCAAATACATATAACTGCCTGGATAAACTGGAGTTATCCAGTTTTACTAAAAATAATTCCCCCCCCCAGGATCTTACATCTACCACCTGAGAGTCTATGTCTATCAGGCAAGAAATCTCTGTGCCATGGACAAAGACAGCTTCTCGGGTAAGAGCAAAATCTTGTGATAGGCACACAAAGTGTAAATCCATTAAGAAGCAATAAATAAAATCAACTCCTGAGGTACAATTTTGGAAAGTATGGTAATAAGAGTATTCTGGATTCTCTAGATCCCTATGCTCATGTGTCATTTCTGCATGTGAGCAAGACCACAGAAGTCATAAAGACCACGCTGAATCCCACATGGGATCAGACTCTCATTTTTGATGACATTGAAATCTACGGAGACCCACAGACCATCGCCTGCAACCCTCCCGATGTAGTCTTGGAGCTGTATGACAAAGATCAAGTGGTAGGTTCAGTGTTTAATCTGCTTAACTTCTGATCAAACTACATAATCGTACACACACAACTGTGTCCTAGAAAAGCACATTTTGGGCTCTAATCGACATAATATGGGTTTATTAAGTCTGTACTATATTCATTAGGGTAAAGATGAGGCCATGGGCCGCTGCACATGCCCCCCTGTGGTTAAACTGAACCCCAGTGGGGCTGTCAGTCCTAAACTGCTGTGGTTCCCAGTCACCAAAAAAGGTCGCAGTGCTGGAGAGGCATTGCTAGCTGCTGAGCTCATATTGAAGGACAAGGTACAGAAAGCACCAAAATTAAGTGATTCAATTGTAATTTAACATTAGGAAGTTTTATAAATGAGGTCCCTCTGTTCTTGTCTTCCAGGTTAATGATGGAGATTTTCCATTGGTGCCTCCTCGGCGGGGGGAGAATCTCTACATGGTTCCTCAGGGAATCAGGCCAGTTGTGCAGCTCACTGCGATTGAGGTATATCTTTAAATTGTTCAAGCCCTCTTGTGTGATGCTCTCCTTATCTGCCCTGCTAGGTTTTGCAATATGAATATTTGTTTTTGCTTGTAGGTCTTGACTTGGGGGTTGAGGAACATGAAGACATATCAGTTGGCCACAGTATCCTCCCCAAGTTTGATAGTTGAATGTGGTGGTGAGACCGTTCAAACTGCTGTGATTAAGAACTTCAAAAAGAACCCCAACTTTCCTGGATCAGTGCTGCTACTCAAAGTGGTAATAACCCCAAGTCTTCCTTGAAGGAATAACACACCTTCAGATATATAAACTTTAGATATTTCCTTATTTGGCCTGTCTTCTCACTGTTCACTTAGCTTCTTCCCAAAGATGAGATGTACGCCCCTCCCATCGTGCTCAAGGTGATCGACCACAGACCTTTTGGTAGGAAGCCTGTCGTGGGACAGTGCACAATTGACTGTCTGGAGGAGTTCCGCTGTGACCCGTATCGTCTTAACAATGAAACCTGCATGTCTGCTAGAGGTATCCACAGACACAGAAGTCTCACATGCATATTTAGCTTCATAAGATAAGTGTCTGTTATATATATATATACATATATATATATAATATATATATATATATATATATATATATATATATAATATATATATATATATATATATATATATTTTGCATTACCTTTGCAGTGGCAATGATAGCTGCTGCCCAAGGAGATGTTGTCATAGACGTGGAGGGGAGACCCATCATAAAAACAGAGGTAAATAAAATGTCACATAAACAAAACAACAGAAAAATCTAAAAAATTATATTTTTTTAATGAAAAGTATTCTTTGCTCCCATCTTTATAGCTTCAAGAAGAAAAGGTCAGAATTCTCTTGTCACACGTTGTCGACCAATGGATATCATCATCTATTTTAAAAATGCCAAATGTATTGATATTTGTTTTTGCGTTGTGTAGGAGGAGGAGGCAGTAGACTGGTGGAGTAAGTTTTATGCCTCCACTGGGGAGCAGGAAAAGTGTGGACCTTACCTGAAAAAGGGATATGACAAATTGCAGGTGATGTGTTTTACACTCGGTGGAAAAAAGAAAAGATCTAATCTGATCTAATTTGTGATGGGTTTACAACCTGCATCTAAATTACTGTGACAGACAGGCTTGTGATCTGAAAGCACTTAAGATTTTGCAGTCATTTTCTGTTAAATAAAACCAGCATGAGTGTTCTGTGAAGCCCCACAGCTAAGTGATAGACCAGTTTTTAATCCACTCGCTGTAACAAACAGTGAATTGTAATGCTTTTTGTGTTTTTGTAGGTATACAATTGTGAATTAGAAGAGGTTAAAGAGTTCCACAGGCTGACTGATTTCTGCAGCACTTTCAAACTTCAGAGAGGAAAGAGTGAAGATGAAGAAGATGATCCCTCAGTGGTGGGAGAGTTCAAGGTAAAGAAGTGTGAAATTTTGTAAAATTAGTACACAGTAGGGGTGGGTTTTGATTATCGCTTTATCGATTAAAATCGATTCTGGCTTGGATAACGTGATATCGATTCATTAAAATCCTGAATTGATTTTTAAATAGAAATTTATTTTGCCCGAAACGCCAGAATTTCTACAACCACCAAACAGCTAAAACAGTAAATGAGAGCAGGTACACGGATTCTGCACAAAGATGTAAACACAAAACGCGGACCCAACGCATCCGAATCAGTGAAATGTTGCCTTTCTCACCCGACTGCACGTTCGTGGACACGCCGTCGGGGCTTAAAGCCGACAGCTCGCTGATTTTGAAGCGTCGGCGGGCGCTTTGTGTTTACGTCCTCTTTGTGCTAGATTCTGAAGCTGCAGGTTTTATCTCTCTCCAAACAATATTGACTGAACCAGCAGCCAAAGACGATCCAAACTACGCTTCACATTTCGCTTCACATAAACATCGTCAGGAATTTCCTCTGACTTTTGCTGTTTTGCTTCCACCACGATAAAATCACACTTCCTGCACAGCTCTCTCTCTCTCTCTCTCTCTCTCTCTCTCTCATTTCTGCTGTTCAATACTGAACAAATTGAAACTTTTTAAAATTATTCAAAATTGCAAAATGCTTAGCTGTGTCTCTAATCAAACCTCTGTAACTCTGCTCTGCTTCACTTCGTTTTTGACTGCACAATATTTTTAAGGTCATCTGCTATAAAATCCCAGGCTAGGAAAATCTTCATGTTTTTCTGTGTTTTATCCTGAGTTACTTTGACACAAAGGCATCTGCTGTGATGCTTACACCTTTAAAAAGACTCACAAGTGTCAGCTTTCTTTTTATAGGTATAAAAATATAGATATGTACTGATAAGTGGTCAGAATTATAATATTTCTGACTGTCTGAGGCAAAATTTCCCCGATTCAAAACTAATCAAATCGTGGATCGAATCAGTATGGGACCTTGTGAATCAGAATCAAACTGATTCTACAAATCAGTGACGATACCCAGCCCTAGTACACAGCCATTTTCAATACTCCTTTTGTAACATCTAGTGGACAATTTAGGAATTGCAGTTAAACTAAAACAATAATTTAAGGTGGAACCGATGGTGGCTCCACTAAGATTAACAGGTTTGCCTGAAACAATAAGTGATCCCTGGCCAAAGAAGCCTAAAGAGGCTATAACTATACTAGTGAGGAAATAAGTAAGTCCATAAGTCCCAGCCTGATTCTTCTTCAGTGGTGCCTCGGTAGCTAAGATAGAATTGGAAGGGTTTATCCTTTAAAGCTGTAGAAAAGTAAAAATTAAACAGAAATTTATTTATTTTTTAATGCTTTTGACCTGCTAAAAATGTGTGAATTGAGCTTCCCTAAATCATTTCTTCAACAACCCTGATATCTTTGTGATGCCATTGGAGAAACCTGCAATTTTAATTTAACTAACAATGCTTTTCTCTTTGGTGGTGTACAGGGCTCATTCAAGATTTACCCACTGCCTGATGACCCAGGCGTGCCAGCGCCACCTCGCCAGTTCAGAGAGCTTCCTGAGAGTGGACCACAGGAGTGCCTGATCAGAATATATGTGGTGTCCTGTACTGACCTGCAGCCTAAGGATACAAACGGCATGGTGCGTCTCATACATGAAGCTGCAGCTGATAAGTCATGTTGCTTTAATCCTGTGCACAGCTTATCACAATTGTGAAAAAGATGAATACTTTCAACATTATTTATTTATCCATTCTCCGTTCAGTGCGACCCGTACATTAAGATTATGCTGGGGAGGAAAACAGTGGATGATAGAGATAACTACAAACCTAACACCCTCAATCCTGTGTTTGGAAGGTGAGATGCTGTTGAGATGTGTTGTTTTTAAAAAAATTTTTTTTTGATATTTAATTATTTTACAGTGAAAACTCAAGCATTTCAAATACTTTTCTCCAGGATGTTTGAGCTATCCTGCTTCCTGCCTCAAGACAAGGATCTGAAGATTTCTGTGTATGACTATGACCTCCTGAGCAGAGATGAAAAAGTGGGTGAGACAGTCATCGATTTGGAAAACAGGCTTCTCTCTCGTTTCAGGCCTAGCTGTGGCCTGCCACAGACTTACTGTGTGTAAGTATGTACTTTAAGTGCACTTCAGTTGTTTATTTTCTTAAGTCTACAATTTTGTAGCTCTGCTTTGTTTGTATCTAGTCATTTTGATCAAAAGAGATGTTACACATCAACATCGATTCGAATGTCTTGCAGATCTGGGATCAATCAGTGGAGAGATCAGCTGAAGCCTTCTCAGATACTCCAAAATCTGGCTAAAGTGCGGGGCGTCCCTAATCCACGCTTTGAGGGTGATGGAAGCTCATTGTCTTTCGCAGGAAGAGAATACCACCTGCAGGAATTTGGTATAGCCATTCTTGAAAGTCCTGTTATCATAGCACATATTGAGTGTGCTGTCTCTATTGTTGTTTTAATTGTGTCCTGTTTGTTTTTTGCCTTGCTACTTTGGAGGCTTTCTCAGTGATATTAACACTGACTGCATTCTTTGCAGAGGGCAACACTGTACAACAACACCAGCACTTGGGCCCGGCCAGAGAAAGGCTGGCGCTGCATGTCCTCAGAGACCAGGGATTGGTACAAGAGCATGTAGAGACCAGGACCCTATTCAGCTCCCACCAACCAAATCTATCACAGGTTAACACTCATGCACTCAATGCATTGTGATTTGAGCAACTTAGTTATGTGCTGTGCTTTGTTTAACCCTTTTCTCAAAAATCTAGGGACGAATTCAGATGTGGGTAGACATTTTCCCCAAGAGGCTCGGTTTGCCCGGGCCTCCGTGTGAAATCACTCCACGCAAAGCTAAGAAGTAAGAAACTCTTTACAAAATAATCATATATCTTAACGTAATGCACCAAGGGGTGAAATATAATTGCATACTTGAAACAGGTACTTCTTGCGAGCTGTCATTTGGAACACAAGTGATGTCACTCTGGATGAACGAAGCATCACTGGAGAAAACATGAGCGACATCTACGTTAAAGGGTATATTAAATGTCCCGTCTCTCACTTTAATCCTTTATTTGTACTCTGCACTTGTACTGTGATCAACAAGAAGGCGACATATTGCTTTTGTTTGTTCTTTAGATGGATGCCAGGAATGGAGGACAACAAGCAGAAGACTGATGTCCACTACAGATCTCTGGATGGAGATGGAAATTTCAACTGGAGGTTCATCTTTGGCTTTGACTACCTACCTGCAGAGCAGCTGTGTGTTGTCTCTAGAAAGGTGTGCAAAGTCATGGATGAGCAACAAAACCCCAATTTATTTCTTGCTAATAATGTAACCAGTTATAATTTGAATAAATGAAATAATTTTTTATCTTTATACAGGAGCATTTTTGGAATTTGGACAAAACTGAATTTAGGATTCCTCCTAAATTGATCATCCAGATATGGGATAATGACAAATTCTCCCTGGATGACTACTTAGGTGAAACAGTATTCCAAATTTTGAAGGAAATGCCTTAAAAAGAGCCAAATGCTATAACATATGCTCTGCAGCTTTGTCACAGAAAGACGTGTACATATTTTATGTTGCAGGGTCAATTGAGCTGGACTTACTGAATCTCATCCCTCCTGCAAAGACCCCAGAAAAGTGCAGCCTGAAGATGCTGCAAGGAATGATGGCATCACAGCCCACCTCACTCTTCTCCCAGAAGTCTGTGCGAGGCTGGTGGCCATGTGCAATTGAGCAGGGTGGAAAACCTGTACTTGGTGTATGTTCATGTCTCCAGCACACTTATTTGTCATATTTTTTAAATGTGTGTTTTTTTGTGGGATCCTGTTTAAGGCCTTGTTTTTAAAAAATTTGCAGGGAAAAGTTGAGATGACACTGGAAATAGTGGACGAGAAGGAGATGGAGGAAAGGCCAGCCGGGAAAGGCAGAGAAGAGCCCAACATAAATCCCAGACTGGAACCACCCAAGTAAAAATATGTCTCTCCAAAGAAAAATTAATAACTGTTTTACATTAATATACTTCATTTAAAAATAATTGTGTATCTCTATTCTCTAACAGCCGCCCTGACACTTCGTTCTTCTGGTTTACAAATCCTTGCAAGACCATGAAGTTCATAGTGTGGCGCAGATTCAAGTGGATTTTCATTTTAGGAGTTCTTCTCCTGCTTGTACTCTTGTTCCTTGGGATCCTTTTCTACTCCCTCCCCGTAAGTTCACTCATTTTGTTGATAATGAAGTCAAGTTTGTTGTGTCCATCAGAACCCTTAAAGTATTTTGTCTAAAACACTTTGGATATTTGGATACTGAATTTAATTCAGCATTTAAAAAGACCATTTTTTCTCTCTGCAGAATTATATCTCCATGAAGATTGTCAAGCCTTTCTCTTAAGAAGCACTGTAGAGAAGCTCTGTACCTACCTGCAGCACAACCTACAGACCTGCTTGCTGTTACCATCCCATGGAAATAAGCAATAACTGTCTCTGCTGATGCCTTAGAAATCTGACACTAAGCATTTCCCTGTCACAGTGACTGCTATTAATTTTGTATTTTTTCACTCTCAGTATTATTTTGTACCTCATGTATATTAAATCAAATTTGTTTCACTGACTGTTAAATGAAAAAAAGCAACAGAAATGACATTTTAATAAATCATAGGGATCTATCTATCTATCTATCTATCGATCTATCGATCTATCTATCGATCTATCGATCTATCGATCTATCTATCTATCTATCTATCTATCTATCTATCTATCTATAGATAGATCGATAGATAGATAGATAGATAGCCAGATATCCATATCTTCATACATAGTTTGTATGAAAATCATGATAACATCAAGTATTCTGTGTAAACATGTTTGAACGTCAGTCAGTAAAATGTCATTATGAATTCAATTTTGGTTCATAATTTTCACACAACACCTGAGTGTTTACATTTTAAGTGAGATGCCTAAATAAATATATAATTTTTTTCTATTAATAAAATAATATTTTGTTTGCAGCAGTAAAATTCATAAATACAGTATGTAGGTTTTCAAGGTTTTTTATATTTTTGATTTTATAATTTCCCATGAGCCCCCACAGGCTGGTTGTTGGAGCTATAAAAAACAAACAAACAAAAAGCTGGAATCACCCTGAGAGTACTTTGCTGTGGTCTGTTGGTTGAGCAAGAGAGCTGTTGGCACCAGCCGTCCAAATAATCTGATCAGAGAGGCTGGCTCTGAGTGTAATGGTCCAAGCAATGGGGAATTTTCCTTTTTTTCTGTCTCTCCTCTCAGGTCGAGTTGTAGACTGGATGTTCGTGATAGGCCTCCCTGCTGATAGAGTCTCAGTTTTCCTGGTCTTCAGCCGTTGCACAAATTTTTATTTCCTCATCACTGTGGCAGTTATAACCAGCTTGTGCACACAAAATTTGTGTGACAGAGAACCATTTGACAGCCTTAATAACATTTGCTCTGGTAAAATGATGAAAAAATGTACTTCATCAAACTTCCAGCTCCAAAACTTTAAGTTTTAGCTTGAAGAAACAGCATTGTGCATGCTTCTTTTCAGTTAGGAAAAGGTCTGCAGCTTCTGCATTGCTCTCTGACTTTTTACTCATGTTTGGGTTCAAATATCACAATGACAGCACAAATCATGTTCTTTGAAATCACAAACTGACAAATGGATAAACAGCCAACTTTTTATTCTTGGTCAAAACAGAGTTACTACTACTTCAATACTAATCTGAAGTAAGGGTTTAAAACCCTTAGGGTCCAGGGTCAAGAATCACCCCAGTAAAGACTCCATTTGGACCCATTAGACTTTGGAAAATGTGAAGCAGGGCATAAATTTGAGCATAGTTGGCACATATTTTATTATATTTTTTGTATATGTTTCAGCTTTTCCAACTGATAAAGACTTCGTCTGTGGCCATTCATGCAACATCTTTTTTTTCTGCTATATCTACTATAGAAATAAAGATGAAAAAAATCTGCAAATTAACAAATATTATTTTATATTGTTTAATTGTACGTTTAATTGTTTTATAATACAGGAAGGCCTGTGCAATGTAATTTTACACATTTATTTCTTATAGTTAAATCCTCACATTGTCACATTGACATATTTCTTTCATTTACCATCTTAGCATTACGTGTATTTACACCGGTCCAGCAGGTGGCGGCAATGCACTTGTAAGTTGGTGTGCTATCCGCCCTTAAAAGCCACAAGAAGAAGAAGAAGCATCTCGAAGTGAATGTGGAGAAAAATAGTTTATATTTAAAAGCCTCGAACAAGGAACAAGCTTGTAAGTTACGCTTCTTTATTTGAATGACGACCGCACTGTTAGCTTATATAGGTTAATCCGAGCTACAGTAATCGAGGCTAACCTTCAGCATTTATAGCCAATCAAAGCTAAGTTAGCTAAAGATGCTGTGTTTTTGCAGTGCGCTCAGGGTAGTAAGATAAAGAAAAATCTGTCGTTTTAGCGTGAAAGTGACGTGTCAAATGAAGAAAATATGCTTGGCCAGCTCGTCGTAGCTTTGTTGGAGCTGTCAGCTGTGCGTTTTTTTCGCGGTGTGCCGTCTTTGTCTGTAATTAATGCACATATATACAGGTAAAATGAACTGAATCTGTAACTTACTGTGAACATCTACCTACGACCATCTTCGCTGAAGTCTCAGAATGTAATAAGTGGACCAAAACACCTATTTAGGTCTTACTGTAGCTTCCAAACGGCACTAGGAATAAACAAAGTTTGTATTTCACTGTATTAGAAGTCCAGTTATACATACCAAGACCCGTGTATTTCTATTGTTTCTATGTTGTTGCTTACGAAGGCTGAATGTCATGTTTATTTCTGGTTTGTAAGGATTTCTTTGAACAGTTCTTTTAACTACTGTACAACATAAATCTGTAATCGCTTTAAAATACAAGAATTGGGTGCAAAAAATGAAGTGAATTTGGTTTTTTTCTAATCCACACCTGATCAAAAGTATATATACAAACTCAAATATATAAACACCCTTATTATTTTTTGGTTAGCTATTGATTTGAGATGAAGTTGAAGTATATGGAGATACTCCTCCAGTCCATGACGTTGTCAATGTGGACGTTGTCAATGTGGACGTTGTCAATGTGGACGTTGTCAATGTGGACGTTGTCAATGTGGACGTTGTCAATGTGGACGTTGATGCTGGCGTTCGAGTAGTCGACACTTCACGGGAGGCTTAGCCTTTGTAGTTCCAGGGTTATCACTGAACAACATCCTTACCAATTCCTCTCTAAAACTTTGGGTATATTTCCAGACGCTGGAAAACACACAGCCGCATAACTTGTACTTATGTACAGTTGTTTGAAGTAATTATCTTGCTGCACAATCATGCCACCCTGGAAAACTTCAAAGAAACCATTAAAAGCCTCAAATTACCCTGACATGCCAATGATGAGTGTATATAAACTGCCTTTTCTTACTGTGCCAGCATATTTACTTTCAGCTGGTTCTGATTAGTCTTGTATGACGTGTTAAACGTGGATGAAGTTATGGATTCTCAAACGAGGTAAAGTATCCAAGTTAACAGTTTGCTTGGTCTTGCATGATTAATTTCCAATGTACTGCTAATTAAAGAAGATATTGATGGAAAATGTGTGATTATGATAAAAGTATATTTTATGTTTTATTTTCTTTCTTTTTTGCAGCAGTTTAAATGCTGAGGTTAATCAAGAAGATGTAAAGAATGATGCTCCAAAAACTAACCTCACAGATGAAAGTGATGAACTCTGTTTTGAACCACAAACGTCTGACGCTACAGGATACAGTGCACAAACAGAGAGCACGCATGATGATGTGTCTTCCCAGAATTTGATGGACTGTAGGTCTGCAGGTGACACGGATGAAGCTGTGCTCACGTGCAGCAAAAGTAACACAGCTCCAACACAGTGTTCTAATGGGCAGAAATCTAAGAGGCCCAGTTCACCAGGTCCTCACCCCTCTAAGACAACCTGTGTTGCTGCACACACTACCAATACAAAACTCCATCCCTGTCTTAGTTTTAGTTCCAAAAACCCAGTGTGTACCCCCATTGATGTGGAGATGCTCAGTCCTGATAGTCCAGTCTGTAAAACCATGTTCAACAACTCTGCAGACCAGGATTGTGATGGAGGTTTTTGTGCAGAGCGCTCTGCCTTTGCAAAGGCTCAGGTAATGGAATCTCAGCAGACTATCAAAGACTCTGATCCAGGAAGTTCAACCAAAGAAAGAGAACATCTTCCTGCAATCGGATCCGAGGATGCTGAAATAGCAGACCACAGTGGGTCATCTAATATGAGCCAGGACTTAATTGAAAGCCAGCCAGATGCAATTTTGCAAAGGTCCTTGGAAAGATTTTCACTACAACTTTTTTTTTTTTTTTTTTTTTTGTGCCCTAATGCCATTATATTCATAATGTCCTTTAGTTAATCTGCTGTCTGCTTACCTGTTCTGCCTTTTTTCTGTATAGTGTTTCATGGCCATCACATAACATTGAGACAAAATGGCAGGGGACGCCCATAGATGAGCTGAACAGACTACCCCAGTGTGCCCCTCCTCTGTCCCACCTGAAATCAGCACCTCATCACACTGTCACAGTCAGGGTGAGTCAACAGCCACTTCTTCTTTTGTGGATCTTTGTATTTGCTAATACAGATATGTTCATGATGACCTGCTGAAGTTCAAACTAAGCATCAGAATGGGAAGAAAGGTTATTTAAGTGAATTTGAACGTGTCATGAATGTTGATGGCTGCTCTGTGTATTTCAGGCTATGGGGAATTAAAAAAAATGTTTTCCATCCAACATGCTTGAATATTTGTAATTCAAAAGTATTACTTTGGAAAAAAAAAAGACTCCTAAAGAAATAAAGCAATTTATTTAAATCACATTGCTGACTACCGAGCCTTGTTAACCTATGAGGCAGATTTTGTTTAACTCACCATAATTATCTGTTCAAATGTTATTCTAATAAAGGATGATGCAGAAGCTGATAGTAAACTAAGGTTGTTATTGCAAAAGGAATCTGCATTTCTTTGTTTGGCTGTAAGCCTATTAGTGTGTGTCATCCCCTCACCGATACCTGGGAGTCTCTCGAGAGCAGGTTTAGGACAGATGTGCACAGAGCATAGCAGCACCAGCTGTTTCAGGTGAACCAGGGGAATGTCTTCCTTTGTTACTGTCTCACTCTTTCAGTCTTTTAATACTTATGCTTATCTATTGGGATTTTCCTACACAGGCATCTCTGGGTTTTACAGAGAATAATGTGAAAAAGAGAAAATATTCAGTGAATGGCGGTTCTCTGGCTAATAAGGGCATGTCAGAGTTAAATGCCCAGAGATCTTCAGTCTCATAGGAAGCCAACAGTAACTCACATAACCGGTTGTTACAGGCAAAGTATGCAGAAGAGCAGCTCTGAATGCACAACATGTTGAACCATGAAGCAGACGGGTTACGGCAGCAACAGACCACACTAAGTGCAACTCCTGTCAGCTAAGAACAAGAAACTGAGGCTACAGTTAACATGGGCTCACTAAAATGATCCAATAGAAGATTGGAAAGACTTTGCCTGGTCTGATGAGTGTTGATTTGTACTGTGACATTCTGATGGTAGATTCAGAAGTTGAATTAAACTGCATAAAAACCTGGCTCCATCC